GAGCCACTGCAGGCATGTGCCTGCATTTCCTTAATCCAGAGGGAATGCCTGACAGCTGCAGATTGATTCAACCAAGGCAAGTTAGACTAACCTACAAAGATTTAATCAATTCAGGCTCAGGCTTTTTGAATATCTGTCCCTAGCCTAGGAGTTTTTTTGGCTATAATATAGAACTGTATAAAGGCTGGCAAGTGATCAGTTCTTTGAAAATCAGTCTTTGAAAATTGTTATTTTTTCTTTTAATGATAAAGCTATTTTTGTAACTGCATTTGCGCAAATCTGGGTTATCAATAAAGAATCTAACCATGAGTGGACTGCGGACCCACTTAGCAGTCTCCAAGTGGCATTTTTTGCATATGGACAAGGTATGATATACCAACCATGTTTGCTTGCTATCTATGTCAAACAGCAAACACACAAGGTGAGTTCTGAAATCCAGAACCAGAGTCCAGCTTGTTCAGTAGCTAGATGAACTACTTACATGCAAGTGAAATATTTAATTCTTGAAAAAAATGTTCATTTATAAGCAGTTGCGCTCTACGTCTTATTTAAATTATTTGGGCATACAAAAACAAGGACTATAATACTTATTTTTCTAATCAATTGCTCTGTCCTTCCGTATCCCTCACTCAGGTTATAATTTTAATGAAATCATTATTTCTAGATAAATGAAATAAAAGGAAAAGGAAGAGTTGAATGAAGTACATGATACTTAATCCTTACTACTCACTATATATAGATGCTTGCAAACCTAGCAGGATATTAAGGAAGAAACTTAGGGAGAACTAGAACAAGTTTGGAAGAGAATATTTAGTCTTTGCTTACAATTCCTTCCACCAGTAAAAAGGGAAACAGGAGAGTTAATCAAATAGAACACAACAGAGCAGGTCAAAAGGAAATGGAACCATTCAGAAAGTCCACACGATCTTTTATTCAGCAGGTAAATGGGAGAAAAAAAACTATTTTTCAGTTAAAATTATCAGTCTTGTATTCTTCTTTTATTAGAGATAACGTAAGTAGCACCACCCATCATTAGCATTCCCTTCTTAAACATTCCTATTAAATGTATCAAATTTTACCTATTCAGGCTAAAATTCTCTGTGTTGTGCTGGGTGTCTATATCAGGCTGATTTTTTTAGAAAATTTCAGGAAAAAAAAATCTAAATATCTAATACCTGTTTCTCTAAACCAGGTTAGGAAAAATATATTGTTTTTTGCCCATCTTGTCAAGAAACTCCAACATCTCCACCCATGGGCGGATCTAGATTTTGAAAAGGCAGTACAGGTGGTATGGTGCATCATCACATATAACACAACACATATTTTTATCTAGTTAAAAAGAAACTAGAAGCTTCACTAATAAGCTAGGGGCCTAAAGTGGTAGCATTCAATTTAAGATTGAAGGGAAAAAATACTTTATTGCAATGTGCATTAATTTGCTATTTTATATAGAGGTCTATGTAATTTGCAGTGAGCAAAGCAATTTTCACAGCTTGATCGCAGCACAAAAAGCCAATTTTGCAGGCATTTCCCAGTGACCCCATACTTTGCCACTAATTGACGGAGAGTCATATGCATCACTAATAGATGGTAACTCTCACTCATGTGATCTATGACTGCAGTGACTGCCATGTTGTCTTTGTATTGCAGTAAGCATTAGGACATTCTAAAACAGTATATTATATGAATAATATCCTGGAGTTTTTTTTAAGCTTGATTTAATGGGAAAATGTGACAAATGCAATATTTCCTGGCGATTGTGGACAATGCTGCTTTTTGTGGTTTCCCGAAAAAAATGCAAAACAACGAATTAAGTAGATCCCTAATTATATATTATATAAAATACAACAAACTAGGCAAAATAATCAAAAGATGTCATAAGTCCTGCAGTCTAGTTAAATGTACATCTCTTTCAGATTCATAAAAGAAATCTAGGCTTTTGGTGCATCTTGACAGTACATCTAATGTTTCACTGAAAGTTAGGTTCACACATGAGCTAATGTTCACCTGAGTTAACTTTTCCATACCTGAATTAATGTTTTCAGCTAGCGTTCAAAAACAGTCTCCAGGGCTGTGCAATGGGAGCTACATTACCAAGAGCAACCAACAGACAGAAGAATAGCTTGAATAATGGAACCAGTGAATTCATTTAAAAAGAAAGAGAATCATTTACACATGTGGAATGAAAAGTTTGGAACAGGGACAGGCAATTATTTTGGCTGGAGGGCCGCTTAACGAGTTTTGGTGTGCAGTTGAGGGCTGCAAGGGTGGCCTCGCCCCTTGATAGGTGGCACACCCACTGTTGCCATCTTGCAACTGGAAGTCCCACATCAAACCCCTGACCTTTGCCACCAGAAGTTCCTCCCCTTGCCCTGGAATTACTCCTTTTGGGAGGGAGGGTACTGCCATCTTGAAACTAGAATAAAAACAAATCATATACCAAATAATCAAATATATTCCATAACTTATCTTAATTTTATTTTTTAAATATTTTTGTCCTGATTTGTGTGTGTTTGTGTTATGTATCTGGGGTATGGGTGTGGTGGGAGTATATGTGGGAGGGTGTGTTGGGGGTATGGTGGGAAGTGGGGGCTGTGGGAGGGTGTGGGTGTGTTTGGGGGCATGGTGGTGTGTGTGTGTGTGTGCGTGTGTGCGTGCATGTGTGTGTGTGTGTGTATAGAGGGGAGGGGAGGGGTCCTGAGAGTCGCTGGAGTGTGCCAGTTCCTGGATCTGCATATGGTGGAAGCAAGTGGAGCCAGCCCCACCCAGCTCCATAGTATGCAGCTCCCTGCACTCCCACCCCAGTCCCTGACTTCAGGTGGTGATAGGGTGTGAGACCAACCCAACCCAGCCCCATAACCTGCAGCTCCCACACTCCCACCCCAGTCCCCAGCCACACATGGTAGCAGCACGCAGAGCCAACCCAGTCCAGCCCCATAGCACATGGCTTCCTGTGCTCCTTTCCCTTTCCCCCAGTGGGATTCCCCAGCTCAAGATGGGGGGAGGCGTACCTGCATTCTTCCTCTCACAGGCAGGAAGGCTGGAAACAGCCTTGGGGCAGCAAGGAATAAGCTCTGCCAGGTAGAGGTTCCTTGTCTCCAGCGCCCCCTGGCTTGGAGCTGGGGAGGGTCAGGCCAGGCTGGGGTGGCAGGTGGTTGCTTAGCAACCAGAGCTACACCTCCTGCAGGATCCACCCCGTGTCCAACCCTTGGGGCAGGGGACTTGGAATTTGATGGGATTCATGTCCCTTTAGCTGCCTTCATGAAAATCCTGCTGAGTTTGGCCACATAATGAGCTTCTGAATATTTTTGTTTTCACATACTTAAGCAAGGCCTTTTAGATGCACAGTGGGAAACCTAGAGAAAACCCAATAAAATACAGGAGGAAAAAATCCTAAAAGCATACAAGGTCACTGATTTTACCAAGGGCCGACATAGAGGATACAAAGCAGTAGTTTCATCTCCAGGTACAGGAAAATGAGCTATTAAATTAGGGTATATTTGGGACCCTCACATCTACATAGTACCTTTATCCATCACATTTGAAATATAGCACAAACTTGATATTTTAGCTGTATTTAGTCTTTTAATTTAACTGTTTCTATATATCTGTTAGTATATCTGTTGTCCACAATGATTTGTTAAAAGGCCCTTGGCAAGGTTGACAGAGAACTCGGTTTACCAGTGTTAGTTCTCTCTTGAAAGACAGTCTGAAGATGAACCAGTAGAGAAAACACTAATACTTCCTCCCACCTTGGCTAAGTACAGACAGTCAAAAATCCCAAGGCTAAATTGATTCAGTCTTTACAGGTTAGTCTAAGCTGCAGAGATTGAACTGAAACAGAAGTGAACATTTACCTTTGTTTCAGGAAATGCAGCCACATACCTGCAGTGGCTCAAGCCAGAAGCTGGGGAGGGGGGCATGCCACAGCTCTGTGGCATGTAGTCAGCATGGACTGTGTGTTTGCTTATTCCTCCTGCTGCACCGGAGGTCTCTGGGACATGCAGCCCAAAATTACAGCAGCATGACTCTGCAGGGTTGCTCATCACTTCCTCTTCCTGCTTCCAGGTGTCTCTGGGATCTGTAGTTCACAGTCACAGCCAGCAGTAAGTTTGAGTGAGGGAAGTGGTTTTAACCCTCCCTCCCTGGCCCCACACCCCAGCTGGGGTTTGCCGGGGGTGGGGCAGCCCCCTGCAGACTGGGCTGCATCCCCAGCTGGGCATGCTCCCCCTGCCCCCCCCCACTTGTCAGCCAGCCTTCACTGCTCCGGCTACAAAACAGAGAGGCAAAATCAGTCCTGCTCTCTGGAGCAGATAGCACAGCCCAGCCCAGCCCAGCCCAAGGCTGCAAAGCATGCTGGGATGCTGGGCGACTGTGATTTAACTTGAACCAGTAAGGGGTCTGGGGCAGAAGTTTCATAGACCAGTTTGACCCAAATCAGTTAATCTGTGATACTACAGTCAAACAGATTTATCTTAAATGAGTTTCAGCCATTTTGAAACTCATTTATGTGCACTGAGCATCTATTCTGTTACAGGTTTAAACCAGTTTCTGATCACTTAAACCAGTTTATGTGTAACTTCTGTCCCTAGCCCCCATCACATCAATCACTTTCACTTTACTGATAGTGGGTAACCATATGACACGTGGTCCTTTCATGTTTTGATTGCCCACAATATGGATGAATGAGAGATTAACCTTCTGTCAGTCAGTCAGTTGGTAACTAATCCAGATGTGAAATTTTCACAGGCTTTTTTATCCTCTTCATATACTATTAGGCCTCCCATAGAGATCTTTCAGAGCTGAAGAAATCCAGTGGCTGGTCTACAATAACCTCATTATCTAGGTATCTGAGCAGGTTATCCATACAGGAATTGCCATAATGTGGAAAGAAATTTGTGAAGTAGGAAAAATTTCACTTGCAGCTTTTTGTTAAAAAAAATATGATTTTGAACTTTTAAACATTTTTAGTAAGAGGCTTGCAGTATATGTCAATGGATGAAAGGAAGAGAGCAAAGGGGAGAGAAAATGGCAAGGAAAAGGATGACTAGCTGACTTACCTCTGATGACACAAGCCAATATTACATGAAACTGATTTTTTGGGACCAGCAGAGAAACATGCAGGCAGAGAGGAAGTAACAGCTCTTCACGCAGGTATTCAGCTCCATCTAGATAGATGAAGCCTTTCAAAATATTTTCAAGAATCTATGTTTGTTTAAATAAGATAGATGAGTTATTCTAGTCACAAAGATAACTATATAGGCTGCATTGTCCCCTCTAGTATATAGTATAGGTCCAAGCAATGCTACTGTTTCAAGGTATTTTTCTTTGGCAGGCAGATATGTCTCTCTCACCAGTTAATTCATGATACTACCATAATGGACACAGAGGAATCAGCAGACTTGGACATCTTTCTTTTTGCAGACCTATGTTAGTGAATAATGACTTGCTGAAAGGTTAATCTTCCTTTTGTTCTGAGGACTGGATTTCAACATTCCTCAGTTTAATAGTTCCCGAAGTAACATTGCAGTGGCAGAATTTTCTTTATCAGTAAATCATGTATGTCCCTCCCAGGAGTTTTTCTCCTGTCAGCGCTAAGCAACTGAGGTCATTTAAGCAGCGGCACTCTTGCAGGAATTGTGCCCAAATACAACTTTTTTTATTCAGACAGTGATATTTACATTGGCAATTAAAATATTATTGAGACATTAATTTTGTTTATAAGCTCCTTCTGATTTAAAACCCTGATGGGCTTTTAGACTTTTCTCACTGTAAATCTTATTCTATGGGAGAAAAATGGCCTACAGTGAATTTCAGGAAGGAACTTATTGGCATGGGAAAATAACGATGGGCCAGATCATTTACTTGTATAATGCAACATCATTCTGCTAAGGTCAACTAAGCTACAATTTACACCAGCTGTGATTTGTCCATATGTCATCCATTTTAGTTATTTAAGATTTAATTGTTCAAATCTTATCTAGGAAATAGATTTTCAGTCTCATTCATAGAAGGAAGGAACAAACCCCAACCGAGCAGGCATCAACTATTAATGGGTGAGAGAGACACATTCACCTGAAGTCTATTTGAATATTAATACCATTGGGATAAAAATTAATGCAGGAGTATATGTAATGTACTTAAAATAAATCAGTGACTCAAATTGTTCTTCTTGGTTCAGCTATGAGTAACTTGTTTTGTATGTCAAGGCCATAAGCTGGCCTTCTTTGATTGATAGTTCTCAATATATTTTATCCACTCCGTCTCTAGAGAATTGTGATATTGTGTGTTATCCTTTCCTAGAAAATTATTGCCTACATGGTCTAAATGATAACTTTGGCTTAAGGCCAGAAATGTCACTTTGTCACTTACCTGAAAAAAATGAAACACTCTCTGAGCTTGGTTCCTATTTTACACTCATGTTTGCTCCCACTTTGTGGGCAGTATAAAGGGGATGTAAATAAGGATCATGCTTCCTATGTCTTTTAAGTATATTTCTTATATTTCATCACCTGGGAGCTCAACTCTGCTCTCTTTATTAACATTGTACTCGTTATTGTACCCGGTCCCTGAATAATCCTGTGGGAATCTAAGTAGCTGTTTGTATATTAAGAGACTATTAAATATCATTTAAGATCCTATAATTTGCTGTGATAAAAGATATTTCTTGATTCATCAAAGAAATGGATTCATTTGCAATGCTATATAAATACTTTTGGGAAGGGAGTCTTTGGATCACTTGGCCATGGGTGGTATTTAGTAAGGCTGTGCGAAGCTTCAGTTACTGATTCAATTAGGTGGAGATTCAGCCCAATTCAGAGACTGAATCTCCAAATCCGAATCAAATCAGGAGACCCTTTAATCTCTCCAAATTGATTCAGAGAGATTTGATGATTCGGACAAAGACACAGCTTTAAATGTTCTTTCTACATATATCAAGGTACCAGGCGGCTCGCGAATGCTGAGATGGTGGGGCAGATGGAGCATCCTACAGGATCGCAGGGCGGGTCCCCAGCACACTCAGCGGTGGACCCAGAAGTGGACCAGAAGCACTTATGGTCCACTTCCAGGTCCACCCCAGAGTGTGCAGGGGAGCCCCTCACCCACCGGCTTGGTGACTGATGCCTCCTTAGTTTGGGGGGGTGTAGCAGGGCACTACGGTGCCTGCTACTTGAAGAGCAGAAATGGCCACCTGGTGTCGGTTGCCAGGGCAACTAGGAGGAGCTAGGAGCCCACACCTGTTGAGTCAGCTGACCGAAAGGGGCAGGGCTAACTTCTATAAAGCTCAGGCTGGAGGCCAAGAGTAGGGGTCTCGGCTAGCAGCCAAGGAGAAGCAGTGGTGCCTGCCTAAGAAAAGGAGTAAGGCCTGAACGCGAGCAGTTGGTTACGCTAGTGAGGGATGGAGCACCCACAAAAGACGACTCAAAGGAGGTTAGCTGAGCAGTTTAGCTTTATGTTATAGCCCAGGGGCTTGTGTTATTGTTTTGCTGTTGTTGTAAAACCGGAGGACCGGGTGAGGCAATTAGGGGTTGGAGGAGGCCTCATAGGGGCTCCACAGTAGCGTGGGAACCCCACCACCAGAGAGGGCGCAGCGTTCAGGGGTGCACTGACCCCAGCCCCGAGAAGAGGCGTGGAGAACTGGAGGCCAGGTAAGGCTGAGGCCACCTGAGCCCTGCAGGAGGGGTTTGAGACTCTGAGGAGGAGAGTTGGGGCCAGGCATAGCTACGGCCACCTAAGCCCCAAGCCAGAGGTTGTAACCCCAGAGAAGAGTGGGCAGCGTGAGAAGCCCCAGAGAGTGGGCAGCGTGAGAAGCCCCAGAAAGGGGGCAGTGATTCACGGCTGCCAGGTGGCACAGTGGCGAGACAAGCCCAAGCGCTGGTGAGGCGCAGGTTGCGAGACAAGCCCGAGCGCCTGTGGGGTGCGGAGAGTGAAACAGACCCAAACAACATCCGGTACATCTGTGAGGCTTGGGGCGTGGTACAGGGGTGGTTGGAGCCACACATAGCCTATAAGGCTGGGGTGCCTGGAACCCCATTATAGAACCGAGACACGCGGTAGCAGCAGAACTGTAGCCAAGGGAATGGAAAGGAGCCTCCTTACATAACTACAGAACATCAAAGACGTGGCGGGTGAGATTCTGAGGGTGCTCAGAGAACATTTGGCACGGTGCAGGGGACCCTAGGGGAGAGCACGGCGACCCTAAGGTTCCATTCTGCTACAGGAGGTATTCAGGGTCCCCCCACAGCCGATCGCTGAGCCAGGCAAGCACGGGGTGGGTCCACTGCTTAGCACACAGAGGGCCTCCCCGTGCTCCTGTGAGGTGCTCCATCTGCCCCACCATCTCAGTGTTCACAAACTGTGCCTAATACCTCGTAGAATGTAGAAAAAAATATTTAAAACTGTGTCTATGGCCGAATCACTGATTCTCCAAATCAGCATCAAATCTTCAGATTCCGATTCAGCCAAATCGGATCGGGACAGTGATCCAAATCAACTAATCAAATCACTGTCCCCCGAATCAGGGTGAATCTGAATCCGAATCAAATACGACCCACTTTGCACACCCCTAGTATTTAGTAATGGATGGTGTGGGCTGGGAGATGTCAGGAACAGATACAAACATACTGAGAGCAGAGGGTATGAAATCCAAAGATATCAGAACAGCTATTTGAAAAAGGCATTTTGGTTGCTGATCTATTTTTTGGAAGAGCTGATGGTTAAGATATTGCAAACATGAAGTTACCCTTGGTGTCAATACAATGCAGCTTGTTTCATGCTCTTTTGGCTTGCATACCTAAAGTCTGTGTGCAGCATATTCATTTGAAAGCCTGTTTTCTTAAACAGCTTTTGATTCCTACATTTTTTTTCTTTACTTAAGAAGGCTTTTTTCCTAAGTTGTAAAACCTGGAAAACATGCTGCTCGCTCATACTTAATACTTAATATTGTACAAAAGATAATCCCTGGCAAAAATTACAAACAGGTAGAACTGTGTGCTTAGAAGTACCACTCTCAGCTCCTTATTTCCATCTTAATCTCTGTTCTTCTCCCACTTTTCCTTTTCTCCCCTAAATAAATACCAATCACTGAGATTGTGAAATCAGAGAAAACTCATCCCACTCTTCTATCCCTGTCCTCATCCAGGTCAATGGGGCAGTCTGTGGCTGTTGCTCCAACCCACACCCCTGATGTTTGGTTTGTATCTTGATGGTATTTTGGTTTCTCTCAGACTCCTGATCCTCAGCTCCAGAACTGCCCACGACCTGGTCCATTAGACTAAAAACAGACAACTGGTTTAATTTGGAGTTGATTAGTCCTAGAGATTTAACTTGCATCAAAACTAGGTTTGGACACTTGTTTATACACAATGTTTAAGGTTAAGTACAGACAGTCAAAAGAAACCAAGGCTGAACCTATTCAATCTTTGAAGGTTAGTTTAAGCTGCGTAGATTGAACCTATAGGCAAATAAACAGACATTCACTTTTGATTCCAGAAATGCAGCCACATGCCTGCAGTGGCCCAGGCCAGAAGCCAGAGGGGGAACTAAAGTACTCCTCCCTGCTGGGCAGGAGCGAACAACTTAAGCCAAGGGTAGCCTGCCCACACTCACTTATCTCTGTAATGCTATTCCATGAAAGTTGCATGTGGTTTCTTTTTAAGTATGTTTGAGATTAAATAAGAACCAGGCTCATCTTGCTTAAAGCAGAGCCCCTTAAGTCTACCAGAGAGGTGTAAAATAGACTGCCATGTAAATGGAAGTGAATCAAAATTTCTGAGACTTCTTTGAAAATCCTAACCTATATATTTTAATTGTATCCAACATTACCTGGGATGCTGGGGGACAGAGAATTAATTTGAATCTGGAGGGGATCTGGGACAGAAGTTCCATAAAATTATTTAATTTAAATCAGTTAAGTCTGATACTACATCCATCCATGTTTATCTTAAACCAGCTTTGGCTATTTTGAACGTGGTTTGAACTTCTGTTGTCTTACAGATTTGAACCCATTTCTAATCACTTATACTGGTTTATGTGTAAGTTCTGTCCCTGCCCTAAGTGACAATTAGCCATACCTGCTCCAAGCCAGAGTATTAATATGGATACTTCACAAGTACCTGATGTGATACAATGGGCTTGTCCTTTTGTAAAGTCTGAGGTTTGCCTCCAAACAAGATGCTCAAATCCAAATCAAATCAGTTGTCTCTTTTTAGTCTTAAAGTCCCCTTTTACTTCTGCTGCTGCCCTGTCCTCATCGTTAATAGTAAAATTGGGACATCAGTGAAGCCTTATCCATGAAAGCAGGCAGGCAGATTGGGGGCCTGCACCCCCAGGAGGAGTCTGGCACAGCCCCTGCAGCCCTCCTGGGGGTGTGGGTGGGCCCCCGATCTGCCTGTTGGATCACAGGAAGCTGCTGCCACCACCTGGGACAGGTGCTGGGCACAGCCCACACCCAGTGCAAGGAAGATGGGTGTTGCCGCTGGCCACAGCCAGCATCAGCAGCCTCCTATCATCCTCCTGTCATCCATGCTGTCATCTGGCGCACAGATCTGGGGGCCCGCTCCCGCGGGAGGTCTGGGGGCTGTGCCAGAATCCTCCCAGGGGCCATGGCCCCCGGATCTGCACCGGATAACAGGAGGCTGCTGCTGCCGGCTGGGACTGGTACTGAAGCCAAGTACGCCTGGCTTCAAAACTCAAAACATTTCAAAACTTCCTAAACTTTGAGTGCCCTTATTTCATTTCAAAGCTGTTTCGAAGGCTTTTGTGTTGTTTCGATCTTGCTGTTTCAAGCTCAAAACGCATCAAAACAGCTTTGAAACTAAACACCCAGCAAAAATCCACACAGCCCTACTACGCACCTCAGATGAAACTACATGCCTCAGATGTAAAGAGACTGACTTGTTATGCAGGATTTAGTTTCTCATTTAGTTGGACTAGTGAAATCTTGAAATCATGGAGCCCCAAAGTGTGGGCCTAAAAGTAAGGGATTTCTAGTCACATATATTTTCTTTTTCTCTTTTTCTATCTGATTTTTCTCAGCAGAAATCCTATACTTTGATTTCATTGTTACTTCATGCTTAGTCTTCAGTGCTAGCCATGTTTCTCTATAGATCTCCATGCTGTTCTTTGAATATCTTGTGTCCTGAGGTTAGAAATGATTTTTATCCGGTAACTGATATATACTTTTTTGCCCTGCTGAGCCTTTAGCTGTGTCTGATTATCCTACATACTTCCATAAAGTTCACTTATTCACCAAGTGACTGTTATTTTTTGTAACCTCTCATTTGCTTGCACCTGAACTAGCACTGGATTCATCTACCAGGAGCAGGAGGGCATACTTTAATTTAGTCTCTCTCCAAGGGAGAGTGGCTGAAATAAATGCATGATTATGCCAAACAAAAAAACTCCATCATCTAATTCCATACGGCTGCCTATACATGTCCTTCTGGACATTCGAAATAGAATGTGTCTGAGCAGATACGATTAATCAGATCTGCTCTGCTTTCTAATTAGAACACTGCAGTATGGCCACAGTGTCTCATGTATTAAGCCCCCGCACACTTAAAAATGGCTGAAGGACACTTTAACTAAACCTCATCAAATGAGGTTTAGATAAAGCGTCCCATGGCCATTCCAAAATGTGCAGGGCCTTGGTACATGTGATGCTGTAGTGTTTTAATTAGAGTGGCTGCCTGGGAACCGATCTAACTAAAAGGCCCC